TATACGGAGCCTCTCTCTGTCACCCAGGCTGGAGTGTGAAGCTCCGCCTCCCGGGTTCTTGCCATTCTCCTGCCTTAGCCTCCCGAGTAGCTGGATACAGGTGCCCACCACCACGCTGGCTAATTTTTTGTATTTTAGTAGAGATGGGGTTTCACCTGTTAGCCAGGATGGTCTTGATCTCCTACCCTTGTGATCCGGCTGCCTTGGCCTCCCAAAGTGCTGGGATTACAGGCGTAAGCCACCGCGCCCGGCCTATGCCTACATGTTTTTACCATGAAGGAAGTGAGAGTATGAAGGGGGAGAGGGAAATTATTTTTTTCCCAACTCTTTTAACAAATTAGAGATGATCTATGCCTATGATGTAAGTCTTTTTAGCTGCTGATAGTTTTGAGTGGCAAAACTGGTAATAATGACATTTAAAATTTAAGGACATTAAAAATTTAGCTTGAAACTTTAATACAGTCAACATACTTTGAATTTTGTTAGTAGGCTAAGTGTATTGGAAACTGCAAAATCAGTGTTATGGTAATTGCAGAAATATTTTGTAGCATTGGGAAGTTTGGGAAACATATTTATGTCTGTTTTATTCTTTCTGTTTTTTAGAGCTTATGTTCTCTGGGAAGATGTGACATACCCAGGCGGTACGTCATGATGCAGGGCAACACATGGTGAGTGCTGTGAAGAATGGCAGTAGTTTGGGAGAACCGAGAGAGGAGCAAACATTGGTGCTGGGCTATGGAGGGTGGAAAGGATTTAGATACATGGAGAGAGGGATGATGTGCTCATTCTTTCAGCAGTGGGCACAATACAACAGAGGCCATGCACAGGGCTAGGAAGCCAGACCAGAACAGTTAATAGACATCCCAGAGCACCACCCTGATGGCGCTTGCAGTTCCGAGGTGGCAGGCAGACGTTAAAGGTGGAATTAGGGCCGGCGTGGTGGCTCCACGCCTGTAATCCCAGCACTTTGGGAGGCCGGAGGTGGGTGGATCGCGAGGTTAGGAGATTGAGACCATCCTGGCGAACACTGTGAAATCCCGTCTCTACTAAAAATACAAAAAAATTAGCCGGGCGTCGTGGTGGGGGCCTGTAGTCCCAGTTACTTGGGAGGCTGAGGCAGGAGAATGGCATGAACCTGGGGGGCGGAGCTTGCAATGAGCGGAGATCGTGCCACTGCACTCTAGGCCTGGGCCACAGCAGAGCAAGACTCCATCT